GGGGTTGTGGAATCACAAAGTAATAGTGAAACTAGATATTCAGATACAGAACAGGGAAATTAGAGTTCACAAAAATTACATCTATGCACCATCCGGTTGGATAAAGGGGTTTGCAATCTCATCTGTACCATCAACTGGAGACACAAGCATTACAGCAGTCCCCCTGCAAACCTGCAGTGAATAGTATGCAAATTGATCACACGGGCTCGTTACTAAAGAAAAGAAACTATGAACAAAGAAGCACGCCATTTAGAGCATTTCCTTTCTCCTTTTACACATGCACGCTTAAGAAGAGCCAAGCTTTCACTTTTTCCTCGTGATAAAATAATTTAAATTATCACAAGAAATAGTTAACCATGCCCTAACCACTAAAATTGCAAAAAAAAAAAAAACAAGGATGGTAAGAGAGCGTTAAGCACATAAGAAATTCAGAGTGAATCAGTAGTATAAAAAGTTCGCAAGTCAGTTTAACATGGCGCATGTGATAGCAGATAAGAAAAATACAAGTATTCAAAGGATAGAAACATGCTCAGCCGGAGCACACAGTATTTCGTCCAGTCCATAAAGGAGAAGTTTTCAAACAAAAGTAAATTATGATGCCTTCTTTTTTTCTTGTTAAAAGAAAGGATTATTTAAAAACAAATAAAAACTCTGAAATTTTCACGTTAATTGAGACCATCTAATCTGTTTAGCGCACAGACAATTGCAATTGTCAAAATGAAGTCCTTAGTCGCATGCGTAAACAATAAAATTCTGTGCTAAAAAATTGATAAAATTTTTCATTGTATCCAAGGAGAAAGAATTATACAATTAGGCCAAGGCGCCTGGTTTGATCTGTTGTCTTCAATGGATCATCGGAATCTGCAGAAAAGAAAAAACAAAAAAACTTTAGTCAACATATCAGATATATTCTGCAGCGCCATCAAAAGCATAGCATGAACAGGTATAAGGACAATATTTTAACTTAAGGTTCGTAATGAACAGAAGGTAAAAGGCCATTATAAAAACAAAAGATATAAACATAACTAACTAGCCAGTCAGTAGAAGAGACTTTGGGAATAAAGAAAATGGTGGACAAGATAAAAATCAAAACAATAGAAGCACATAACCACCAATAAAAGCAACTGAATTGAGGAGCACAAAAAAAAACTTGCCCCGGGGAAAGATCCTCTGAACGTTGTAAGTATGTGTAATAAATAGGAACTATGATGCCAGTAAAAACAGTTTCCCAGAGTCAGGACTATATTGCATTTCCATGCTTGTGTTTCTTGATCTAATTCGTAAGTTCATGCTTGGTGAATGAGACAGCAACGGAGGTGCAAACCCAGATGAAAGCCCATGAATTCATTTACCACTTCCTGAATGAATCTTTTACTACCATTATATGATTTCTTTACACATCCTAGAATGTTAAGAAATGCCTCTCCCAGGCTATTTGGAAGGCTAGGGCTACAAAGATGGTCTAGTTTGTTCTTTGAATCTTGGTGCAAGAGCATACCAACACCGTGGATAGAATTCAGAAGAAGCTCCCTAATAAAGTATAGTCTCCTAAATGGTGCATTTTTTACAAGGGAAATTAGGACTAAAAGCATTTCCCACCTATTACGTTCTGGAATAAGCTATGGAAGTTTCCGACCTTCAATGGTGCTTCCATGACAAATAATCAGGTCTTGTGCCAATGGTCTCTGCAAGCATGTCAACTAGGATATGACTGTTCAAACCCAACAATGCTTTTTTGTGGGGAGCTAAGGAAGGAGAGACACAGAAAGATTACAAAGACAAGTTTTGGAGCTTCGAGACTCATTCCATCTAAATACCCTAACCTTATTGGCCTATTGGAAGATGAGGTTGCTTATCTTCCTCTTTTGTCCCCGCCTTTTGTATGAATTCGATTACTTATCATAGCATGTATTGCACATGCATAAATTTTCATTCAGAATTTCCTTTATGCCTATAAATTGATTAACCATCCAATTACAAGGAACAATAGAAAGACAAAAGGGGGTTTTTCAAATATTGTGACACAATAATATAGATTCTCATATTTTTGTAACTTCTATTTAAATGAAATCTTATAATAGAGTGTAAGTATACAAAATGTAAAAAATTATACGATGTAAGGGTTTTACAAGATAATAATGCAAATTGAGCATTCTAATTTATGCAATAGCCTACTACTAGTTTTTAAATATGTCCTAGTTTCGAAATAAAAATAAAATAAAATGATGATTTATATGTTTCATCATATCAATGACATGTCTGTTTTCTTTTGAAAAAAACAAACATATCCATTCAAAATATGCTTAAGGACAGCATGTATAAAAAAATCCATACTTCAAACGAAACATTATTAACTACACTGCCACATCTTAATCAGCTGAATCAACAGAAAAGAAACCTTTTTCTGTTCTTGCAGAAAAATTGTTAATTTGTTATGTTACTTATAATTTAAATTCTTAATTTTTGCATCTTTGTCCAATATGAAATGATTTTTTTAGTACAAGTTACAAAAAATATGGGGCATGAGGATTTGAATCTCTAACCTCAAAGGAAGAAGTACATGGCAATTACCATTGAGCTATGCTTACTTTGGCCCAATGTGAAAGGATTTTCAGTCTCATTTTCAATGATTTTTTTTTTTTTTCTGGAATTACGTTTTTTTTTACCACTATCAATGTGCCTATGTGCATCCACAGCATGTGTTAGAATGCCAAAAAGACCAACAAAAATAAATTTCAAAATTATTTTTCAAGTCCAACAGATGATAGAGAGTGTCGGTCTTAAGAGTTCATCGCAACACATTATACCTCTCAACAAATAGAAAAATTGTATGAAAGCTACTAATCAATAACTCGGCGAACTCATGCACTACAAAACATCACAAATCTCATCCATTCTGCCAGTATCCAGTAAATTGGTTACCTCTTAAAAACTCTACAGCTTCATCCAGAACAAGGTTTAGCAGTTGATCATATCCTTTGAGCGTTCCCGTAACTATCAATGGAAAACAAGATTCATAAAGCACTCTTCTTGCATTTAGAAACAGGAAGAACGAACAAAAAAAAACACACGACATCAAACATTCAACTATCTGCTTGAACCTCTTGATCGTAACACATGAACTTTTTTTTTTTTTTTTTTCACCAAACGAACACTTAAACTTATGTATGAATAAAAAGAAAAACTAATCAGAATGTATCGAAACGTATCCGAGTGGCAGTAATACAATGAAGGTATTAAAAATAAACAACCTTGTCTGCCGCCAGTGAGCTTGACTTGGACGCCTTTGTCCACGAACTTAGCCAAATCCAGAACAGTTTCTTTTCTTCCAGACTGATAAACAGACAAAACGAATACCACATTATACATCGTAATCAACAATCACATATATTCTAATTGAACCAATCCATCAGAAGTCTACCATCGGACAACCGTTTTCTCAGCTCCTCTATGAAATTAAATGAACCACAAACCTGAAACATTCCAGAAATGAAACAAATTACAACGAGCGCAAACGGAAAATCCCGTATGCTAGTCGATTCAAATAAAATTGGCAAAGTTACGAGATTATGCGTCTGGAAATTAAATTGAAGAACTGAAACTAAAGAACCAAAAGAGAAGTGATTAAAACTGAAAGTTATGCGGTAATTGCAGCTTACTTTTCAATGGAAGCGATGAGGAGCGCAAAGGATGTGCCCTAGATTTGCTCGTTGAGAGAAATGGTCGATGGCGGGAAAGGTACCCTCCAAATCATGGACAGTTGGACTCCGGCCCAATTCCTCTTCCGGCCCGATTACCCGATTTCAATAAAGTGAATTACGAAAAGAAAAATAAAATAAAATTAAAATTAAAATGTTTTTTTTTATTATTATTAAGAAAATTGCTGAAATCACCTTTAATTACGAAGACAATCCCATCCTTTAATTTTTATTTTTTTATTTTTTTTATTTTTTTTATTTTTTTTATTTTTTTATTTTTTTATTGTGAATTTATAAAGGTCGGTCTTCTCTTCCCCGTCGTTGGGTTGCTAGGGTTTTATCTTCAGCGGCAGAGAGTTGAGTTTCCCGGGCCGTGAACAAAAAATGGCGGATAAATCGGCCAAGGCAAGAAAAAGCGAGGTCGTCACCAGGGAGTATACCGTCAATCTCCACAAACGCTTGCACGGATGGTAACTCTCTCCCTCTCTCTTTCTCTCCCGGATTTGCTGGTTTTGATATGGTGAAAAGTACAGATGAATTTGATTCAGCTGTAGGTTGATTTGTCGGCATGATTTTTGTCCTCCTGCGTTTAATTTCGTAGTTTAACCGGTTTTATGTCGATAGATATTAAATGAGTCTTGAATTTAATGTTCTGTTCCGTTGTGGGCTGTGTTATTCGAGTGATATATTGTGAGGATTGTCGATTTTGACTGTGCACTTGAATTGATGACATTGGGGGGGTCAATGTTCTTTGCTGTTCTTAGTAGTTTGTATAATTTGGACTATTGCGAGTGCAGTTGCACCTTAGCAAGTTTTATTAGTTGTGCTTGATGAGTTTGGCATCATTCTGGTACTGTTCAATTTTTTTTCCATGATAGGAGTTCTGGTTCTTAACTAACAACTGACTTAATTATATGTTATGTTGCTTCTAGCCTACATATTGTACTCATCTTGAAAGGTTATTCTTCAATTTTCTGGTCCTAGAAAAATATCCTCACGGATACCTCTGTGCTTATGTTCTATTCATTTGCTCTCGTTAGAGATACTTGGCACCTTTGTGCGTTTCTAAACCTGCGTGCTTGTTTGATCCACAACATATCTATAATAGCCCAAGCCCACCGCTAGTAGATTATCCTTTTTAGGCTTTCCCCTTAAAGTCTTGCCTTCAAAGTTTTAAAATGTGTCTACTAAAGAGAGGTTTTCACACCCTTATAAGGAATGTTTTGTTCCCCTCTCCAACCGATGTAGGATCTCACAATTCACCTTCCTGGTGCCTCAGCGTCCTTCTTGGCACACCACCCAATGTTTGGTTCTGATACTATTTGTAACAGCTCTAGCTGACCGCTAGATATTGTCCTCTATAGACTTTCTCTTCGAGAGCTTCCTCTCAAGGTTTTAATATGTCTCTACTAGGGAGAGGTTTACACACCTGTATAAGGAATGATTCGTTCCCCTCTCCAACCGACGTGGGATCTCACAGATTTGGAAAAAGCTAAGCATTAGCATGGGCTAGATTTAGTCATAAATAGGGGAAATGGGAAAGGGAGAATGGGGAAGCATTGATTCAGTGAGTTTGGTTAGGGATTGAGTGAGAGTGCTCAAGAAAGAAGGTTTAAATACCTCGAATACTTGGTTACCTTGTATCTCCGTTATCTTACATTTCAATACATTTGGGTTCTGTCATATTAGTCTTTGATTTCAATGCCTTGTTATGTACCTTTTATATCTTGAATGCTTTTAGTGACTTCTTATTCTTACTAATCATATGCAGCACATTCAAGAAGAAGGCACCGAAGGATATCAAGGAACTCAGAAAGTTTGCTCAGAATGCTATGGGTACCACTGATGTTAGAGTGGACGTGAAACTTAACAAGCATATATGGAGTCGCGGAATTAGGAGTGTACCAAGGAGGGTTCGAGGGCGCATTGCATGAAAGCATAACGACGAGGAAGATGCCAAGGAGGAATTCTATTCCTTAGTAACTGTCGCAGAGGTACCTGCAGAGGGATTCAAGGGCTTGGATACCAAGGTCATTGATGAAGAAGAGGACTAAATGAGCTTTCCCAAAACTAAGGTCAATTCTTGGTTTGCTATGGTCTTGCACATCCATTTTTGACTCGAGGTCTTTTGCAACTTTAGAAATTAAACCAAACCCATTAGGTATAGACTGAGCTATGTTTGAATTGATATGAATTGATGTGTAAATCACCCTCGAGCTTGTTTAGCTTATTTATTATTAATCATAGATACGTATTTAAGTCACAAGCAATTAAGGAAAGATATAATGTCTAACGGGGTAAATGACTTTACTAATTGAAGTATATCCCTCGATTAACATATCTGTAGGACAATGACAGGTTCGTGTTGAATTAAAAGTGAAATATTTAATTATTTTATTTTAAAATTATTGTACTTATATATATATATATTTATTATTATTATTATTAAAAGATCAGATATTAATGGTGATCAATATTGTAGGACAGTGTTAGCTGGCTCCATTCCAAGTTGCAACCTATGCTCTTAAATGCTTACAATTTACTTCAACTCATGAAAATTGTACCATTTTTTAACCAAGAAATTTGATTTTTTATTTATTTATTTATTTTATGTTTGATAAATCTTTAATTTTTAAATTATTTAATATATGTTCTTAAAACTTTTATTTTGTGTCCACAATATCAATTTTTTTAAAAGAAAAATTATGTTTAATAGAATTTAAATTTTTTAATTTTAGGTTGTTGAATAAATTTGTGATTTTTTATTTTTTATTTAAATCTAATAGGTATAAATTAGAGTATTAAATAAAAAGTTTTGAAATTTATTTTAAGTTGATAGAAGTAAATTCTAAAAGTTAAAAACTTAAATTATCTTTTGGCCTTTAATAATTTTAAATATATATATATATATATAACTAAATACACTATTTATTATATTTCTAAAAAAGAAAAAACTATACTATTTATTATTCTTTCTACTCAGTTCTCTCTCATACGCCTCTAGAAAGCTAATTAAATGATAATACTCTCTTTCTCTCTCTACTTAATTAAAGAATATCCCTTTCTCTGTCATTTTTAATTTGCAAATAAAGAATAATTGCCATGCATTGAAACATTTATTTATTAAAAATTAAAATGAATAACTGACAAAGTTATATTTTTTATTAAATTCATTTATTGTATAATTTTTCGCTCTATAAATAACTTCTATTAGTTTTTATATAGGTTTAAATTTAAAAAAAGATTTTAATATGTAAAAAATTAAAAAATGAAGTGATCTTTTTTCACGTGCAATGCAGCCTCCTTGAATTTTATATTAAAAACAAGGACAAAAAGGAAAAGTAAAAAAGGCATTATATTTAATTATATCTAAGATTCAGATTGCATTAAACAAAAATATATAATAACAATTGAAAATAATAAAACACACCCGACCCGATTCACTAAAAATCTCCACACAAGAATTTTATTATCACAGTTTTATAAACAAAACAACACATACATTCGGGTCGGATCCGGGTCAATTGTTTTTTCTCTCTTACCCGGATTTTGTCTTCAACAGGTCCTTAACGGGTTCCCACAGAGGCAATCATTGTTTGTAAACGACGACGCTTCGAGGTGGTCGAAGGGTGACCCGATGGGTATCGACCCGCAAAGATGGTTATGGCTGAGATCCAAATGGCCAACGTATTTGGCTGACGACAATGAATTTGGTATCGGACCTTTGAGAGCATTGAACGACAAGTCGAGAGCCATGAAGTACGAATCGGTGCAAAAAACGTCGGGAATGTGGCCTTCCAGAGCGTTTCGACTCAAATTCAGAATCCCTAGCCCGCCATTGCTGATCAGAGTTGGAGGTATTTGGCCGGAGATTCTGTTGCTGTCCAGATTCAGCGTCGAGAGAACCGGCATATTGCCGATGTTCTCCGGAATGATGCCGGAGATTCCGTTCATGGACAAATCTAAATCCGCGAGGCGGTACATTTTCGTAACAGAAGACGGAATCGCTCCGGTAATTTGGTTGCGGCCGAGGAGCGCTCGGCTCAGCATGCCTAATTTCCCGAAATCGGACGGAATTTCGCCGGTGATTTGATTGTTTCGGAGATCCAGATGCTTTAAACTGCCGATGTTAACGATAGATGCAGGTATGGCACCGGAAATCGCATTGTCGGCTATGTTAAGCACGGTGAGTTTATTTAGGTTTCCGATATCCTTAGGAATTTCCCCGCTGATTTTATTTCCAACGAGGTCAAGAACGCGGAGATGGCTGAGTTTCGTCAAGCACTTCGGAATCTCGCCTGAGATTCCTTTCCAATCGGCAACGATAAGGATGGTGAGGCTATCGAGCTTGCAAATCTCCGGCGAAATCGAACCAGTCATGTAGCCAGTCCGGCCGGCCTTCTCGAAGATCGGATCCTCAGACTCGCCGCGAAGGCTTATGTCAGTGACCTTGAGAGTATCAGGATCACAGCTGACGCCGTACCATCCACCGCAGCAGGAATCTCCCGTCCATGAATTGAAGATTCCTAAGTACGGCTCCTTCAACGCCGCCTTGAATGCGAGCAATGCCGCTCGATCCGACGGCGAGCAAGCGTCGACGACGGCGAAGAAAAAGAAGACAACAGGTAAGATTCTGAACAACATTTCAAACTCTGTGAAACAATGTCGTGATTTTTCTTTCTTTTCCGAAAAGGATGAGAGAGAAGTTGTTTGTTGTGAGTCTGAGTAAGATCTGCCATGGCAGCCATTGTTAAGTAGGAGGAGGAGGAAGGAGGGAAAGTTGGGAGTGCAGCAGTTTGGTTTCAATGCAGGTATTAAATTGCGAAAATACCCCTGGTGAAGATGATAATTACGTTACACCTTTTTTCCTGTGGCACATGCCGAAACCCTGATTAACTTTTTGAGGATAAGGAAGAAAGCTGATTCCATTTTTTATTTTTATAGAAATATTTTATTTAATTAATTTTTTATGAACTTTTTACATATTGATAAAAGCATATTATAATGATAAGGTAAATTTGATTTTATATAGTTTCAAGGAATAAAATGATGAGTGAATTAATAATATATATGGGACCTTATGGGACCTTATGAAAATTCAAGATTTGAAGCATATCCCTTAAATTGCTTTTGTGTGGGACCTTCAAATCCTTCGACTTAGATTTTTAAAGAGCTTGGCTTGTTTTTTCACTGTCTTTCTTTTCCAATAATAATAATAATAATAATAATAATAATAATAAATTAATATGTCAATGTTGTTCTTGTACTCACTAATTTAAATTTTACAATTTTAGTATTTAATTTGGCATTGTTTTCAAAAAGTTTCAATATTAAACCCAATTTTTTTTATAAATATTTTAAATTAGAAAAACGACAACTCAACCTATTTTCATATCATTATTTCATATTTAATTCAAATAAATTTTTAAGTCGTTGATTTTTTCTTCAAATAATAAATATATATTTTAATGAGTGAATTCGTAATTTAATTTAACCAATTAAACACGCGCACACATACATGTATATACACATATACACACATATATATAACGCATTTATGTATGTTTTAACCACGTACATATTTTTTTTTACATGCATGACATGCGAGATATATATATATATATATATATATATATATATATATATATATAATTTTATCAATTAAATATCTAAATTATTATAAATGAATTTATTTAAAATTTATTAATTCACCCATCATTAATATATATTAATATATATAGTTAAATTTATAATTTTATGAATTAAACATCTAAATTATTATAAATGAATCCATTTAAAATTTATTAATTCACCCATCATTAAATTTATAATTTTATCAATTAAACATCTAAATTATTATAAATGAATTAATTTAAAATTTATTTATTCCCCGATCATGGAACATATATATACTTCTTTAAAAATTTAAAATGTTGATTTCTTTAAAATTATTTGAAAGGAATAGTCTAAATTAATAAATTTATTATAATTCAAAAGTTTAATTATAAAATAATTATTGTGTAAACTAAATTAACGTTTAAAATATTTATTTAGATGATTGTAAAAATGATAAAATATAAAATAAAATATTGCAAAATTTGATGAGGGGTTCAGGAACATGCAAGTCAGTCAGTGGAAATAAAGAGGGTCTGAAATTGGGTTACAGACACATCATATCACGTGCTATGTTCTCAAATTCTCACCTCTCTCCTGAGTTGGCAGTGGGCCATCCCTGCCCTTTTAAACCTTAATTTCTCTGTGTCGGCTTTAATATTAATATTATTTAATTCAGACCCTTTTTTTTTTTTTTTTTTTAATTCCCCATCAGATTTTGTATCATCATCCAGATCAATGGATATTATGGCTTCAATTATTATTTTTATGACCATATTCATATAATTCCTAATCATTTTATTTCATTATTATTTTTTAATAATTCATCCTTAAATTACATATATATATATATCATTGTTTTTTTTTTTCACTTTAAAAAATATGCATTGTTTTTTATTAGCTAATGTACAATTTTCTATATTTGATATAGACCCGTTAAATATAAAAATATCAAAATTAAAAGATTAAATAATTATAATTTTTTTTTTGGAGCAATTATTATGACCACCATTTTGTTCATAAAAGGAGCCATGATCATGGTAATGATATTAATTTCATTATATTTCCTTATAAATATAATTGGCGTGTATGATTAAATGTCTTTTTATTATTATTATTATAAAGTCTTGAAAATAATGATTAGTCTAATTTACCAACAATATAGTGAATTATTCCATATAAAATAAATAAATAAATTCTTTTTATTAATATTAAAAATCGAGCTCTTGTATTATTATTATTTTTTTTATTTTTTTATCAGAGGTTGATATATGGTTTATTTATTTTTATTAAAAGTAAAATTAAATAATAATAATAAATAAATAAAGTTAGGAAGAAAATGAGAAGAGGTGGAGGGTTGGGTGTGATGGTCCTACAAGGTGACGCGAAATGGGTCTCGGTCCTCTTCGATGGGAAAGTGGGAGCAAAGCATTGAAGGCCCTCACATGAAAATGGTCGTCTAGGGTACCTTTAATTTGATACTCGAATAAACAAGTGATACATGAATGAATCGATATTCTATTCTATCGGAGCGATTTTGAGAAAATAATAACTAAGAAAATCTTCAAAATAATTAAAAATAACTACTTATACCAACAATGTACACCTTTCTTTCGTAGCTCAATCATAGAAATATTATGGTTATACGTACTCTTATAGAATTTTGACTAAAGACAAAACATACTGGAATAACTCGTGTTCATGAATATGTCAGAATTTACCTGGATGGTTATAAAATTTACATCATAATTTAAAAAACGATTTTAAAATTTTAATTTGGAATTTGTATATTCCAAATAATATATTTAATAAAACGAATAATAACGACTATGCTCTGAAAATAATTAAATGGTGACGGTCGGTGGTGAGGTCAGTAGATTAGGCAACAGGCATTTGCAAATAATGTTTTAAATATTTAAGAGAATAAAAATAACTTAATTAATTAACTAATTAACTAATTCCTCTTAATCTCACTTAATTCCGACAATTAAGGGGTGCGCGCATGTGTATTATTATCCATCCAAAATGATTTATTTTCGCACTTTCCATATTTATATCTTAAAAAAAAATAAAAAATTAAATCAATTACCTTTTAATTATTAATACTTTCAACTTTCTTTTAAGCTAATTATTACTATTATAATTATTATTAGCATCTTAATATATAGTTTTAATCATTCGAGGCATAATTATTCTAATAATTTATAAATTGAAAAAAAAAACGTCAATGTGATAAATTATATCATTAAGGGATCTCTTATACATAATTATGGACTATGATTAAAAAAAATTAAAAAAAATAAAAGTCGGCATTATTGGGCCAATAAAAGACAATTTGCAATTACTTTCCAAATTAATAGAGATTATATATATTAGTTAAAATATATGTTATTATTAATTTTTATTTTTTGGATGAGAAAGTTTTTAATTTGTCACAGAAACCCATTTGCTCGAATGACATGCCAATGGGCTTTAATAAATGGGCTTTAGTAAATGGGCTTTAATAAATGGGCTTTAATAAATGGGCTTTAGTAAATGGGCTTTAATAAATGGGCTTGTCGTCGAAGGGTCCAATACTACAAAAATGGTGCTATGTGACATTTACAGCTTTCCATATTTAACATTTATTTAAAAATATGTAAAATAAAAAATTATCAATAATCATTTTAGAGTTTATTAGTTCAGTTGAAATAAATAAATAAATAAATATATATATATATATATATATATATATACAGAGATACTCGTTAGTTTCGAGTTGATAGAGCCGAACAAACAATACAAATAGGTGTGATAGAGGAATAAGCTATTTTCAACAAATTAGCGAGAATGTTATGTCGGAGAAAAAAAGGAATTAGCCCTTTTTTATTATAATAAGATTAGTCAGTACAATAGGTAAAATCAGTCGGTTGAAATTCAATAATAGGTAAACAACACGATAACAAATACAGTCTGACAATAACTAGTTCGAGGCTAAATACCAAATAGTTGAACTAAATTTTAAAATAGAAAATTGCATAAACGATATACTTATAAGATCATGGGTATATGATATATATATATATATATGTGTGTATGTATGTATATGTGTTCACCATCACAAAGTAGTTGGTCCATGTCAACGTTGACCATTGGTAAGGGAACAACGGAAGGAAGAAGAAGAAAAATCGTGGCTGCTCCGTCTCTCTTCTTCCCTCTGCTTTCGTCCATGTCAAAAACATTTTCGCTTCTTCTTTTCAACTCTTCGCTAAACCCTATTTTCCCTTGATTTTCCTTCTCTCCAAACACAATCCTTCCTCCATTTCCCTTTGTGTTCTACTCAACTGCAAACTAGTAGCATCAAAATCCCCTCGCAATCGCATCAAGCGATCGTTTGGTGTTCGAGTTTAACCTCTTTTTACGTTTTTTGTTTTTGACGATTGGATTAGATTTTGATTCTTTCGTTTGAGATATGTCTAATTTGCAATCGAATTTCAATCAGAAGATTGATTATGTTTTCAAGGTCGTGTTGATCGGAGATTCTGCGGTGGGGAAATCGCAACTTCTCTCCCGTTTTACTAGGAATGAGTTTAGTTTGGATTCGAAGGCGACTATCGGGGTTGAGTTTCAGACGAAGACGCTTGTTATTGACCAGAAGGCTATCAAGGCGCAGATATGGGATACTGCTGGTCAGGAGAGGTACTCAAACAAACTTCCATGTTTTTCTTAAGGATTTCTTTCCTGTTTCAACGATTCTCAATTAGGCTTTTGAATATGAACATCTTTGCTATAAATTATACTAGTTATTCCAGAATTTATATGTTTAAGATTGATATCAGCATGATAGTTGTTCTTTAATGGTAATGAAGATTTATTTCGATGATCTGTTAGTTACACAACTTTCATTAATGGTAATTGTGGGTTTGCTAAATTTCATTTCAGATGGTTACAATGCCCCTAATTTTAGTTACCTTTTTTTTCATGTGAAAATTTTCATATTGTTATGTTTATGTTTATGTTTATACGTAATGAACTTCATCTTGTGGAGTATTTGTTTTGAATAAAGAAACTGCACCAAGCCCTCAAGGGCGGGGCCTCGTTGGCTAAGGCTTGCACTCTTTGAGGAACATCTACCCAAATGTGGCATG